AGATAGATAGACAGACAGACAGACAGACAGACAGACAGATAGATAGATAGATAGATAGATAGATAGATAGATAGATAGAGAGAAATAAAGAGACACACAAAAAAACATTTATTAAAATTAAGTGTGTAGAGCTATAAAAAATAATATGACACAGCGCAGATCATTTTGCGTTTGGAATGTGATGAGAAATACTTGAGATCAAATTGAATAGAATCATATTGAGCTTTGATTACAGACTTATGAAGGCAGTGAGTTTCTTAGCAGAACAATCGGAAAGCATGAAGACTCAAATATATGTATTTTTTAATCCCATTAGTATGAGTAACATTTGAGATCTTAAAGAGATATAATTTGTGTTTTTTTTTGTTTTTGTTTTCCCTGTGGGTGGCCATGCGCTCTCTGCGCTCTAATAAGATTACTCCCACGCCACGGCAGGTGCATATTCACCAATTTGAGATGAAAATGAAAAAGATGACTGCCATTAAGGCGGAGGAGACCACGGAAGCTGGATCGCATTGCCACCCAACTTCCTGATATCTTCTCTCTGCGTGGGAATCCACGCTTTCCTCGGGAGTGAATTAAAGACAGAGGGCAGCAGAGCTCCTAAACCCGACTGCTCGGGATGTGTTCGGCACTGAGGAGTTTATGATACTCTCCAGCCATCTGAGGAGGATTTGCATGGCTTTACAACTCACGCAGTAAGACTTTCTGCGCTTCTTCAATCGCTGCGCAGTAGCGCGTCAAGGAAAGTTAGTGGCACTTTGCGCGCATAGCGAGTTTTTGGATTGTTATTCCGATGGTTGACAAGTCGTTGGATGAGGAGGTGAGTGACTAAGTAAGGGGTTTATTTCTCTTTGGGTCGGCTGCTCTGAATCTCTTTTGGGGCTCGGGTTGTGTGGAATGTGAATAGTATCTTCGGTTCTTGGCGCGTAATGGCGCTTGGAAATGTTGTGCATTTTTGCACAGGACGCGTTGACGTGCTAGCAATTGCATTTGGAAGATTTATTGATGAAAACCGGCAAGTGGTTTGGATACAGTGACTGACACAGTTTTTCAGTCTGACGTGAGGGATGTGTCTACAGGACTCCGGATTACCGTATGCTCATCCTATTACGCCGCGCATTCCCGCAATCTGTTGCCTCCGCGTTTAATTCATTTAACGAAAGTAAAATAGAAATCGATCAGATTCACTCAAACATTTATTACAGCCTAAAATATAGCATCATTACGCATGTAAAGTTTGACTTGCATTCAATCGTTGCATTTACACAGTAGGCTACTACAGTTACTACAGCCATTCATAATATTGTAAAATCGTACAATTAACGTGAGATCGTTTTTTAAAATCATCTGTCATTTTCATTTCTTTTATGACAGTGGTGACTATTAAACCACAGCCGTACAGTTGTAACAATAACTAGTAAGCATGGTATTTTTTGTCGTAATTAACTGTTTATCATGGTAATTTTTTTTGATCAATGAAATGGTTAAATGGTTAAAAATGATGAACTTATGACGAAGATCCATCTTAACATTTAAAAAGTGAAATGAGGAGGAATGTCAACCTGACCTGACCCTTGAAAAAGACTTCTGTTGATGTAACCTATGGTAGTTTGGTTGATTTAGTAATGTTAAAGAAACTTATTGAATAAAACCTAATTCATTTTGGTATTACAACTTGAAGAACATTCTGAACAGTTTAATTTAAGTTATTCCTCAACCGAACCAGAGAGATCTTCTCTTTTTTTAGTCTAGTTTTGATGTCAGAATTATAATCGATCAGCATTCTGAAAAGAAGAAAACATCTTTGTAGCTTTGATGGTCAAAACCCGCAGACAAGAATTGAAATCTCATTAATATGTCAGCTCTTTCTCCTAAGTAGAAATTATATTAAATCGAGAAGGCTTGTTCTTTTGGGAAACAGCTCACCTACTGTATGTCCTCAACAATGTCTCAAACTCCAAAGACTGATATCAGTACAAGCTCAGACCTTTATCAAATTCCTCCAAAACCAAATGATCTGAGCTATGGAATCCTCATTTGTTTTATCATTAAGTTTAATTCTCAAGTAATTTTAAAAGAAGCATCCAAAACAAACAAAGCTGATACTTAAAATGAATCCTACTGTAAGAGAGAGTCTCCTGAGCTATAAAAAAAAGCATTTTCTGAACAATATAATTTTACTTCGGGGAACCTCCATATCTCAGTGTTCCTCTAGATATGTCACTGTGATCAGACACCAGAGATGAATTACGAAGTTAGGCCGTATAGAAGGAGCTGGTGTGGAACTACAGCAACACGAAATGCCAAGAGAACACAATGAAGTGCTGCTGGTCTTCTGTAGTGATAACCTCCTCTACCCCTCCTTTCCTCATTAATTATTGACCCCCACCACATGTTCCTCAACTCCTGTGTTATTTGTGATGGTGTCTGTCTCCGTGCTGCAGGTTAGGTCCACAGCTTGTGAGTCACCCAGTGGGTCTATTACCATGACGCCGTGTTTACCCATTTTAAATATTTACAGAAATAGATGTGCTGGTGGGTTTAACGCTAAATTAAATGAGCTTATCCAAACTTATCCCCATTTCCTCAGCTAACAAAAATATTTAAACAATAATCTCTGATTTTTTTATTTTTTATTATTTACAACTTTGAAAAATATTTTTTTTTCAGTGTATACTTTTGCAGGTCACAAACTTAAAATCCAAATACAACTGACCCAAAAGATGTTCACATACTTGTGCATGTGCATTTTAAGGGATATTATGTATGATAAGTTATGTCATCAATTACTCTCCCTCATGTTGTTCCAAACCAACTTCGAAACACAAATGAACACGTCAACACACATACATAGAGCTCATCAAATACAGTCACCAGAATTGTTTGAATATTTACAGAAACAGACACGTGGTTTTACGGTAAAATAGATGAACTTATCCAACCTCATCCCCATTTCCTCCACTGACAAAAATATTGAAACAATTTCCTTACAGTGTAGAGCAATACAGAATATAACTCCGATAATCTTTGGGGTTTCTATTACAACTTTTTTTTGCAGGTCACAGGCTCAAAATATTAAAAATAAAAATGAGCCAAAAATGTCTACGTACTTGTTCAAGTGCATTTTAAGGGATAGTTAATCCCAAAAATGGCAATTTAGTCATTATTTACTCACCCTCAAAGCATAGTTCATTCAAAAATGAATAAAGAGACACACAAAAAAACATTTATTAAAATTAAGTGTGTAGAGCTATAAAAAATAATATGACACAGCGCAGATCATTTTGCGTTTGGAATGTGATGAGAAATACTTGAGATCAAATTGAATAGAATCATATTGAGCTTTGATTACAGACTTATGAAGGCAGTGAGTTTCTTAGCAGAACAATCGGAAAGCATGAAGACTCAAATATATGTATTTTTTAATCCCATTAGTATGAGTAACATTTGAGATCTTAAAGAGATATAATTTGTGTTTTTTTTATTTTTTCCCTGTGGGTGGCCATGCGCTCTCTGCGCTCTAATAAGATTACTCCCACGCCACGGCAGGTGCATATTCACCAATTTGAGCTCTCAAAATAGATGGCTGCCATTAAGGCGGAAGAGACCACAGAGGCTGGATCGCATTGCCAACCAACTTCGTGATATTTTCTCTCTGCGTGGGAACCCTCGCTTTCTTCGGGAGTGAATTAAAGACAGAGGGCAGCAGAGCTCCTAAACCCGACTGCTCGGGATGCGTTCGGCACTGAGGAGTTTCTGATACTCTCCAGCCGTTTGAGGAGGATTTGCATGGCTTTACAACTCACGCAGTAAGACTTTCTGCGCTTCTTCAATCGCTGCGCAGTAGCGCGTCAAGGAAAGTTAGTGGCACTTTGCGCGCATAGCGAGTTTTTGGATTGTTATTCCGATGGTTGACAAGTCGTTGGATGAGGAGGTGAGTGACTAAGTAAGGGGTTTATTTCTCTTTGGGTCGGCTGCTCTGAATCTCTTTTGGGGCTCGGGTTGTGTGGAATGTGAATAGTATCTTCGGTTCTTGGCGCGTAATGGCGCTTGGAAATGTTGTGCATTTTTGCACAGGACGCGTTGACGTGCTAGCAATTGCATTTGGAAGATTTATTGATGAAAACCGGCAAGTGGTTTGGATACAGTGACTGACACAGTTTTTCAGTCTGACGTGAGGGATGTGTCTACAGGACTCCGGATTACCGTATGCTCATCCTATTACGCCGCGCATTCCCGCAATCTGTTGCCTCCGCGTTTAATTCATTTAACGAAAGTAAAATAGAAATCGATCAGATTCACTCAAACATTTATTACAGCCTAAAATATAGCATCATTACGCATGTAAAGTTTGACTTGCATTCAATCGTTGCATTTACACAGTAGGCTACTACAGTTACTACAGCCATTCATAATATTGTAAAATCGTACAATTAACGTGAGATCGTTTTTTAAAATCATCTGTCATTTTCATTTCTTTTATGACAGTGGTGACTATTAAACCACAGCCGTACAGTTGTAACAATAACTAGTAAGCATGGTATTTTTTGTCGTAATTAACTGTTTATCATGGTAATTTTTTTTGATCAATGAAATGGTTAAATGGTTAAAAATGATGAACTTATGACGAAGATCCATCTTAACATTTAAAAAGTGAAATGAGGAGGAATGTCAACCTGACCTGACCCTTGAAAAAGACTTCTGTTGATGTAACCTATGGTAGTTTGGTTGATTTAGTAATGTTAAAGAAACTTATTGAATAAAACCTAATTCATTTTGGTATTACAACTTGAAGAACATTCTGAACAGTTTAATTTAAGTTATTCCTCAACCGAACCAGAGAGATCTTCTCTTTTTTTAGTCTAGTTTTGATGTCAGAATTATAATCGATCAGCATTCTGAAAAGAAGAAAACATCTTTGTAGCTTTGATGGTCAAAACCCGCAGACAAGAATTGAAATCTCATTAATATGTCAGCTCTTTCTCCTAAGTAGAAATTATATTAAATCGAGAAGGCTTGTTCTTTTGGGAAACAGCTCACCTACTGTATGTCCTCAACAATGTCTCAAACTCCAAAGACTGATATCAGTACAAGCTCAGACCTTTATCAAATTCCTCCAAAACCAAATGATCTGAGCTATGGAATCCTCATTTGTTTTATCATTAAGTTTAATTCTCAAGTAATTTTAAAAGAAGCATCCAAAACAAACAAAGCTGATACTTAAAATGAATCCTACTGTAAGAGAGAGTCTCCTGAGCTATAAAAAAAAGCATTTTCTGAACAATATAATTTTACTTCGGGGAACCTCCATATCTCAGTGTTCCTCTAGATATGTCACTGTGATCAGACACCAGAGATGAATTACGAAGTTAGGCCGTATAGAAGGAGCTGGTGTGGAACTACAGCAACACGAAATGCCAAGAGAACACAATGAAGTGCTGCTGGTCTTCTGTAGTGATAACCTCCTCTACCCCTCCTTTCCTCATTAATTATTGACCCCCACCACATGTTCCTCAACTCCTGTGTTATTTGTGATGGTGTCTGTCTCCGTGCTGCAGGTTAGGTCCACAGCTTGTGAGTCACCCAGTGGGTCTATTACCATGACGCCGTGTTTACCCATTTTAAATATTTACAGAAATAGATGTGCTGGTGGGTTTAACGCTAAATTAAATGAGCTTATCCAAACTTATCCCCATTTCCTCAGCTAACAAAAATATTTAAACAATAATCTCTGATTTTTTTATTTTTTATTATTTACAACTTTGAAAAATATTTTTTTTTCAGTGTATACTTTTGCAGGTCACAAACTTAAAATCCAAATACAACTGACCCAAAAGATGTTCACATACTTGTGCATGTGCATTTTAAGGGATATTATGTATGATAAGTTATGTCATCAATTACTCTCCCTCATGTTGTTCCAAACCAACTTCGAAACACAAATGAACACGTCAACACACATACATAGAGCTCATCAAATACAGTCACCAGAATTGTTTGAATATTTACAGAAACAGACACGTGGTTTTACGGTAAAATAGATGAACTTATCCAACCTCATCCCCATTTCCTCCACTGACAAAAATATTGAAACAATTTCCTTACAGTGTAGAGCAATACAGAATATAACTCCGATAATCTTTGGGGTTTCTATTACAACTTTTTTTTGCAGGTCACAGGCTCAAAATATTAAAAATAAAAATGAGCCAAAAATGTCTACGTACTTGTTCAAGTGCATTTTAAGGGATAGTTAATCCCAAAAATGGCAATTTAGTCATTATTTACTCACCCTCAAAGCATAGTTCATTCAAAAATGAAAATGATGTCATGAATTACTCAACCTCATGTTGTCTCAAACCCTTTTGTTCAACTTCGAAAATGAACACGTCTACACACATACAGCTCATCAAATATGGTCAAGAAGCTTTTAAATATGTACTGAAATAGACATATGCTAGTTCAGGCCAAACATAACAACTCTGTCATTTACTCACCCTTTCCAAACCCTTTTGTTCGCGCAAATGAACATTTCAACACACATGCATAGAGCTCATCAAAAACGGTCAACAGGAGTTTTAAATGTATTTATGGAGTGTGCTGGTGAGTTAACATGTGCTGGTGAGTTTTACAGTAAATTAAATGAGCTTATCCAACCTTATCCCCAAATAAATAAATAAACAATTTCCTTACAGTATAGCAGAATACAAAAGACTCATATATATATATAT